TTCCTATTGCTTTCTCATTCTATAAAGAAAAGTGGCTGTGTGTTTGACTGGAGTTTTATTTGATATAACACAGCTAGCTGGAGGGAACTCTGCTCTTGCTCTTGCGGTGACTCTGATATCTAATTTATTAGGAATATTAATTGTAAGTTCTCGAGCTTAACTACCCATGCACCAGAGTCCATTCACATTTTCTGATTTTATATGTTGCAACTTGTAAACTAGCACAACAACTTTTGCATCTAAATGTCAAAGCTTCATTGTGATGTACTGTTTAATCCATATGTAGAAGATGTGATGCCAATAACAATGCATAAGCTCTTCTCTGTTCTCAAGCTATGAGTTACAAAAACCACAACTTGATGCATATTTTGTCAGTGTATGAGAATGTATGAGAATTGTTTCAGGTTCATGCAGGTATCATATCTGTGCTTTGCCATCTGGCATGGTAGGCATGCATTTGCCTTCTTTCACGTGTCTCTTGGGAATCTTGTTAGATCTTGTTAGGCGACGTTTGATTTGTGGGGTTGAGAAAGATTATTGCACTCTTTTACACTTGAAACATGTTTCGGCTCATCACTAACAAGGAACAATCAACTAACTAATTAATCACCCGTATAATTAGAAGACGTGTTCCAGGGCTGACATTGGAATGATCACATCTGTCATCAGAAGAATTTCATATGACCAGTTAAGTCCTTAGCAATCATCATTTATCTCTTAGTTGTTTATATAAATCAGGCTATAATCTTTAGGTTACGTTGCCCTCCTTCCCAGTTGACCTACCTTCCGCTTGCTGAAGACAAAAGAGTCCTTGATGGCTTGTGAAGTTCGTTATGTTCTTACCATACATTTCAACTTCTAGAAAATAATGATCAATGACCATTTGCGTTGCTAAATTCTCCTGATATCTTGTTTGTATACCTCTTCTCACTTTTCCTTTCTCATAACCCCCACCAAACCCGTCATCCATTTACATTTCACGTCCTGTATTTTTAATTTTTTGTTTGTATTTTTTATTTTTTTATTGCAGACCGTATTTTAGTTATTAATCCTGATACTATTTTTTAAGTTGATGAATTAGTTTGGGACACGGGCTTGTCAGGTTATTATTGATAGAAGATTTTTAATTACGTCGTAGAATGTTCATGGTGGAAGTTTTTCTGTGGTTCATATTGCTTGTACGACTGGACTGGTATTTAAGTCATCGTTAAACATTGCTTATAAGAACTAATTACATTATAACTTATTTGTGTGTCATTAAAGCAAGATTTTCTTCTCAATACAGTCTTGAGGTTTCTAACTTACTTTTGCTTGGCAGATACCATTTTCTATCTCAAAATTCATCGCCGCTGGAGTTGGGGTATCAGTTCCTACTGAAAATTTATTGAGAAGCCTTGTTCTTACACTTTTAGTTCCCCTCATCTTGGGAAAGGTGATGCTTTTACTTTATCTACTGATTAGGTCGGGGGTATCAGTAAAATTTATTGACTTTGTTCTTACACTTTTAGTTCCCCCCATCTTGGGAAAGGTGATGCTTTTACTTTCTCTACTGATTGGATCAACGGTAAAGTAAATTGGAAGAAATACTTTAAATGTGTTAAAGATAGAAAAGAACACCAGGTTTTTGGGAATATTCCTGCCAAGCTTGTAGCTGTCGAAACATATAAAACTGTTCAATTTCCTAAGGAAAACAATAATAATAACTTAATTAGAACACTAATACTAGAAAATAAACTCTTCGGGGGTTAACTAAACCCTTAGGGCCAAAGTCCCTCCAAATTCTATTTTAACAACATAGTTGAAGGAAAATGGGAAAAATAGCGGTAATAGATAAATAGATTTATCTTGAATTCCCTCTGATAACATAACATGGTATTAGAGCACCCGGGTTTTGTTTGTTTGGAGGCGATGCTGGGTGCAATGTTATTAATGGCTGATGGCGGTAAATGGCGGTTTGCCAAAAGTCCACCATAGCGACTGCTGTGGTTGTCTATGGCGTCGCCATAATCACCATCCTTCACAAATTTAGCATGGCGGATTGTCAAAATCCACCACGCCATATTGTCATGGCCGCCATTTGATAACACTGGCTGGGTGTGGACCTGAACGACCAATTTGGTTTGGCACATTGGGCTTGAGGGAGGGTGTTAGAAGTTATGTTTATCCCACATCTATTAGTTACTTGTTGTTGTTATGTATAAGTGAGGGTTGGACACCTCTCCCTTTGAGCTAGCTTTTGGGGATGAGTTCTACCAAGACCCATTTATGAGGGTATCAGTGGTTCAAAAAAAGAATGTTAAAATAAAATAAAATAAAATTTTAGTCTCCATACCAAAATTAGGATTTTATATTTCTTTTAGAAACAGTTCAACCTGTCATTTGCCTACGGTTTCATCTTGTGGGAGTTTTGTGTCTCGCTTCCTATCCAGATCACCTCACCGGCCGAAAACCAACCTCCCTGTGTAGTTCCAAATTTAGATTGCGCGCGTGTGAACTACTCGCGCTGCCTTGTTTTCTGATCTCACGCACCGACGCGTGAGGGCACGTGCCTTGACGGAATTTTTTTCCGGTGTTGCTCGGAATTCCCTAGGCTGTTTGCTTCTGTTCTCTGTTTCGTGTTTCATAGGTTGGAAAGTTCAGCCTTGGTATTTGCTTTGGTTTTTGTCCATTTCAGTTTTTCATTTTGGGACACTTCTTGATATAATCCTAGTGTATTCAACTACGACTTTTTAAGATTTTTAAAACGTCTACTGGTATTCAATTGAGATTTTTTATAGATTCTTTATAAATCTCTAAAAGTCTCAAGTTATTTAATTAAAACTTTCTAAGAGTCTTTATAAGTCACCCAGTCTTCAAAGTAGGACTTTAAATTGAAAGACTTTTGGAGAATTTTTTAATAAAATTATAAAGACAAAGTCCTAGTAGGAATCTCGTGAGATTTTGCTCGACTTACGTGACTATTAAACCTTTTTTTTTCTTGTCTATTGTGTTTACAACTATATATCTCATATTACTTTCATACTTTATTATTTTACTCATTTAACTTGATAGCTTGTCTAACTTATTTCTTCATCACAAATGTTTAACATTAATTTTTCTTTTATTTATTTTTTATTATGGTTATTTTTCTGTATGTTTACTTTTATCCTCTCTCATTTGCTTGCTTCTGAATTTAATTTTTGAAAAGTCAAATGTTTGTATAGTTTGCACCTACTAAGAATTTCACTTTCATTGTTTTTTGATAATGTTTGTGTCTTGTAAAAATATATCCTAATGATATTTTTNTAATCACATAAATTTGTTATGACCCGAGTTGTGTTCCGGAATAACTCAGTGCAAATGACAGTTTTATGGTTGATTCACAATTTTTCATATGGTTATTTATTCATTTTTTTACTTACACAACTATACACAACTGCTGCAAAACTTTTTTTTTTCCTTCTATTCTTGTTGATCTTCTTGTTGAATAGTTGTCATTTACTATCAAAATTGCTTTCAGTTTAATATTTTTTTTAGGAAAAAAAAAACTAGCTTGATTTTATTAATACTAGTTATAGTGCGAGTTTTATGACATTTCAAGCAAACGTAATAGCTTTATGAACGTTTTTCGTTGCCTCTGCCATAGTTGCCATTTAAAACTCTAGCTTCTTGTTGAGTTGCAGTTTATGACTGAGATCGCAGGGTTATAATTGCTAAAAAAGATTGGGTTAGAGCTTAAATTTCTAGCAAAACTTTGATGTAAACAAATCTCTATATTGCATAGAATCCAGTATTTCATAAACTAACCTTGTAAACTGTCACTTTATTCGTGAAAAAGTAGAAGAGTTCATTTCTTAAGTATGTTATCTCAGAAAGACCAGCTCGGGTACATATTCACTAAAGCAGTGAACGCGGTACAAACGAACATTTGTAACAAGACGAGCATTATTGATGCATATATTTCAACTTGAGGGGTAGTGTGAAATACATTTGCGGTATGGCTTTGTTAATGTATATATGGTGTAGATTAGAATATCATAGATTAGGCTCGTTTAGGCTCGTTGATTTATTTTCTTTGTTTAGTTTGCTCTTAGACTGGTATATATATCACTGTAAGTTGTACCCTTGAATACACCAAATGCAATCAGCTTCATTCCACTATACGAGGGGGCATGAGCTTTAATTAACATTTTACCCATCTCTGTTTTTTAGGTTGCTCGAGATCTCTCCAGAGGTGAGATACCACCACCATGTCTTTTATTATTCTTAGCACTACTGGGTTGGTCACCTTGAGACAATTTATGCTATCAGTAATAAGTTCTGTATATTTATCAATGATTAAGGGTACAAAGAGCCATATTTATATACGCAACTAAGAGAATAAGAATACTAGTCAATTCCTAAATCAAACCCTTGGTTGTAGATAATATAAATCCTTTCCTAAAAGACTATTTTATAGTCACATAATATACACTAACACTTCCCCTCAAAGTGGAAACCCTATTAATGCATTTCAGAGCGATCAACTCTTCCGGGGATACTTTCACACACGGCGAGTCTGTGTATTCGTAATATTTTATTTGCAAGTTTATCCTTACATGGAGGCTTATCTTGTAGTTCAATAACTCGAGCGAGTTTGAGATTCACTTCATGCTGTACAGCTCAAATGGCATCTATGTGTAGGACATGCGAACAAATATTAATATATGATATAATAGTGTGTGTGTGTGTGTGTATGTGTTGATTCTAAGTGGTTATACATAGCTTCACTGATGATTGTTATATATGCATGTTGCAGGGGTAGCAGACTTTGCAGATGGAAACCGTAAGCTTTTGGCAATGCTCAGTGCAATCTTCCTCAGTTTTGTAAGTCCACTTTGGCTTTATTTAATTGTTCTAATTCATGTAACATTTTCAAGATAAATAATCAAAGACAATTTTGACCACAACTTTCTTCTTGCAAGATACATCATTTAGATATAGATATTCCCTTTTTGTTATTGGGTTAATTTACAGAATGTTAAGAGGTGGTCCAGTGTAGAAACTTTTCTTTCTTTTTTGTCCTACTTTGTTTATTATTCTTTGTAAGCCTTTAGGAAATGCCTAAGTTTTCTCCTAGGGTACAAACTAGTAATAAATAATGGATACTGTTGCCTCTTCTAAAAGATTCACTATTTGTCTATATAGACTATGTTCTTTGTACAGATACAGTAAAGGGGCTCTATAACATTATCATAAAGTAGCATGATAATTCCTGATGTGATGTGAATTTATATGACAGTGTAAGTGAGTAAATGTTGAGACTTGAGACTGTTCATTAGGACCAGAGCAAGTCAAAGGTGAAAAGATGGTTAATAAACTGATGGGGTTTTTTAAATGGTTTGTCCCCATTGACAGTCTACCACTAATGTGTTTTTCTGGCATTGTTTTTATTTGGTGTAGTAAGTTATTAGTATGTTGATTATATTTAAAAATTTAGCAAACATATAAATATATTTTTAAATTTGGCAAACATATAAGTATAGTTTCAAATTATAACTAATTCGTACGACATGATTCTGAGTGACTGGTGTGCCTAAATAGCATGAAGTCCAGTGAAATTCTATAAAACAGGGACGCTACACTAGATAAACCAGGCAGATGGAGTTTATAAATTAAATGGTTTGCTGGATGTAAGTTCCCTTGAACCATCAGGAGATATTACATGTTAAGAGTGCTTGTGGATACAGCAAAAATGTTAAATATGAAAATCATAAGGCAGAATAGCATGTAATATTACATCTCTTGTCAAAATTGTGATGTGAACACGATTTTTGACTTTGACATAGTGTCTTATAAACTCTTGGCCCAACTGGGATTCGTAGTTCTGCATTAACCTTCTCAAGATCAACTAATTGTCATAAAAAAAAACAACCAACATTTTTTATCTTGGCTCAGATTGGGACAAATTTTGCTGTATGTAGTTTTCAGTTTGGAGCTTTTAGTTTCATTTTGAGTTTGTTTGAAAGTTATTCCTAGCTAATATCTCCTTTATCTCATCTATATTTTAGTTTCACTTCATAATTTGTTTGAAAATTATTCCTAGCTAATATCTCCTTTATCTCATCTATATTGTGAATATTCTAAAGTGAAATAGAGATCCGTATATGCATAGTATGCAATTTAAGTGGAAATTAAGTTTTAATGTTATGTCCAATAACAGCCCAGTAGCTAATCAATGTGGGACAAATGTGACTTCTAACACTTGTCCTCACACAGTGTGCCAAACCCAATATCGCCTCCAAATAAACAAATCTTAATTGCTCCAATGCCATGATAAATGGGTCCGGTAAATGTGTTTGGATAGAACTCATTCGCAGAAGCTAGCTGAAAGAGAGAGGGTGCCCAACCCATACTTATACACAAAAGCCCAGTAATTAATCGATATGGGACAAACATAACATCTAACAGATCTTAAGAATTTATACTGTAATTATGCAATTCAAAATTTGTATAATATTATTCACAGTGTTCTTATATATTTGAATTCACTCACAAAATCCACGAAATCAAGAAATTTACTGTGTTGTTTTTCAATATTCTCATAATCTCTTTTGTAATTGTCACTTTTATCCATTTGTCAAAAAATATGCAATTTGACTTTAGAGACGTTTTGTGAAATTAATTTACAGATTTACTGTTCTCCTTTTGTGATCTTAGTCTGATTCTGCGCCTTATCTTATGAAGGTTCCTTGGATTCAAGTCAGCAGATCAAGGGCACTCCTTTTGTTGGTGAAGCCATCAATATTTCTTGTAGCTGTCATGATGGGAGCGTATGTTTATCAAGTTCTCATAGCAGCATCCTGTTTTTCACTTATATTTTTGCTTAATCTCTGCTTTTTTTTTTTTTTTTTTTTTTTTTTTTTTTGTGTGTGTGTGTAATTCCAGTGATGAAAGCCTTAGTATTTTCTATATAGAGTATCTAGGCCCACAAAATAATGCATATTCGTGTGATAATATTAGTAAGTCATACACCTTGCCCATCTTAAGGAACTGCACCTTTGTAAATTCCAGCATTATATCACTGTGGTATGAGTCATTACTTTCAAATAGTTTAATCATTTCTAAATTTGTTAACTTATAAAGTAGACATGAAATAATCAAATTTTGTCTTTTGACTGTAGGACTGCACACAAGATTGTTTCATTATTTACAGTGTCACACACACACATACACATATATGTATATATATATATTCATATACATTCATTGTGTATGATGTGTTCATTGTGTATGATATATCTACATTTCTGAAACTGTCTAGTGTCTCATTTTTGTCATAGAAAATAAGTAGGGACCGTCAATTTACTAAAAGAAAAGGAGTAGGGTTGAATGGATGCCTTAGCTGTGGCTGAAAGATATGACGGCAAACTTTTTATCTGGGAAGACCTCCATCTCTTGACTCGCAATGCAAATAATATGGTTTATTGTCTAAAAAACAAAGAGTCAATTTTCCCAATATGATTCTTAAATTTAAATCAATCATTACATTTCTCTATGAATTTTACTATTCATACATTCACATACATACATGTAACTATTAGTCACTATTTTACTATTCCCCTATAACATCACAATAGATTTCCCCACTAGTTCTTTTTATATAAAAAAGTTTCTCAAATAAAAATATATCCATTGCACCCTTAATTGCTCTCTCTCTCTCTCTCTCTCTCTCTTCATTGCTTTCTATTTCCTTTCATTTTCACAATAACAATAGATAACTAATAAGTAGATGATAATATTGTTGTTGCTTGCTTTTTTTTCTCTCTTTTACGAGTTCTTTTGAAAACGACACTATTAAAGAAGTTAATGCGTGATATGTTAGGTTAATTAAATAACATCCAATAATTTATGCAGGTGATTGTAAATAATTTCTGACTGCTCATTCTCAGAGGATTACACAATCTGCATCGACTAACACATATAAAATGTTGCAGAATTCTTCATGCTATCCTATTAGCTTTCAATGCTGTGGCTGTCACATGTCTTTCAGCAGTTTCTGGAGGTAGTAAGTCACCTTTTGTCAAGGAAGAAAATGCAAGTGCTCTTCTATTAGTGGCAAGTCAGGTGACATATTCGTTCTTGCTCCTTTGCGAATAGAAAATTGAGTACTTCAGTATTTTTCAAATTGAAGGAAAATAAAAACGCATTTTCTGAATTTTGGTGGTGTTAGATACAACTAATATTTTGCTATGGTTTAGTAATGAGATATGATTTTCCGTGTTATATCGCATGTATTTTTGTAGAAAACATTGCCTGTGATGGTGGCAGTGGTCGAGCAGGTTGGTGGTGCTTTAGGTGAATCCGGATTACTCATCCTTCCATGTGTTGCCGCTCATTTGAACCAGGTAAGAACCTCTCTTTTTGTTCAATCTTTCTCTATCTCTCTTGCTCTGCTTAATTTTGCCTAAAATGGAGCACTATTTTGTAGATTATCATCGACTCATTTCTAGTGAGCATCTGGAAACAAAAGTCGGGTGAATTTGAAAATGCTAAGGTTGCGTAGGACTTATATTTGGAGACATAGCTTGAAACACATTTTCTGAAAAGGAGTACTCATGCTCATGCTAAGCATTGGACGAAAAAAGGCTGCACGGGTAATGACAATTGTTGCTTGCTGCAAGTGTGCTATATAGTTTGATGTAATGTAAACTACATATTTCTTTGAAATTTGAAGGTCCCATTAGAACTGAGGAGATTATTTTGCATAGATCAAGTGTTCTTGTTTGATTTTTTTTTTTTTTGGACACGAAAGGAGCATTTAATTATCAAAAGATAGTTGGATACATCAACATCAAAATTTCATGAACAGTCGGATAGGTCCCATATTGAATTTGCTATACAAAGACAATCCTTTAGAAATGGCAACTCACGACATAAAACTGATTCTGAAATCTCCATCCTTGAAAATAAAGCTAGCATCAATATCTTCAATTATCGTCATTGTCACACAAACTTATTAGCTTCTTTTCATAGAGCGCAATGTAGCGGAAGATGAAAAATTGTGAATTTACATCCGTTCACCTATTAGTACATATTATCAAGACTCAATCTAAACAAACAATTAAGGGGGTGATTGGATACAAATTGTACAGTAAAAAAACCAATCAAAACTCAAATTTAACTCAACTTTAACTCAACTCCACTATCTTCAATATTATCAATATAATTAAATAATATCAACCAATCATTCTTATACATCACATCAACTTTAATTCACTATTCATCTACTCACATAATTTTAACTAACTATCACTTCCAATCATTTTCTCCTACTTTTACATCAAATCAACTTTAATTATTTTATTTTATATATTATTTTAATATATCCACTAACAACTAACCATACTACCTTTTTACAAACTTAACTATAGTTACAAAATAACTAGTTTTTTACTAGTTGAATTCATATCCAATCACCCCCTAAGTATTGTATCCTACGTGAAGACAAACAATTCATTATTGTATGAATAATTTCCCTAATAATTCAGTTTCTGTCTCTTTCATTGTGCTAGGTGTATCTAACAATTCAGTTTTACTATGGAGTCATCGGATGACACGACTTATGGAGCCATTAACACTTATTCACAAATAGTGTATTGACACGTGTCCAATATTAAAAACATATGTATTATATTATTTAAAAACATGTGTCTACGCATGCATTAATGATACTATGTTCATCTACGAGAGATTGACATAACCTAATATAAATAAATGGTTGGTAGATATAAAGAACAAATAATTGTTGCTATCTTCTTTGTTTTAGGGTGAATATGAAGATTAATATTTACAAGTGATTCCTAAAAAAATATGAAGAACAAAATTTTAGAGAAAAATAATAAATAAAAATATTCAAAATTCGACTCCTCAATAAATTCATAGACCGACCACTTGTTTCGCCGAAAAAAGGTGAGTTTGGAGTTTGCCATAAAAAAAAATCAGGTTTGAAGTTCATCGAAAAGGACCTTCGTCGTTCACCGAAGTTCTTCACGATCATCTTTTGCCGAATTTCTTCACGCCAAACGTTCGCTGGAAGGGGGAGGGGGAAAGGGGAGGGGGGAAGGGAAGGGAAGGAGGGTTGACTAGAGAAAGAAAGAAAAATTACATGTTTGTTTTTGTATGGATGAATAAAGAAAAATAATAACAATATGTGTAAAAGTTGGTAGTGGAGTAGTGATTGGACATGTGAATGATTTAAATATATTTTTTTTAATGTTATGAAGTTAAGTGAAAAGTGCATTTTAAAATTAAGAAATGCATAGACAAACTAGATGTGGCCACGGGCCACCCGGCCCCGGCACGGACGCGGTCCGGTCAAACTCGTTGACCACGGGTACAGGCCCGGCTCGGATTTCAATCGGGCCTATCCAGGGCCTTGGTTTTGTTGACCCTGGCTCACCGGGCCGGGTCGGGTCCAGGTTGGATCCAGTTTGCCTGGGAAAAATACATTGTTTTTAGATTTTTCTGTTTTTATTTATTTATTTTTTTTACTTGGGCAAACGCAGACCGGGTCGAGCCCGGCCCGGCCTGTCGGACCATGGACCCGGACCGGGTTGTGGCCATGTTTATGACAAACTATATGGTTATGAACTGAATTGAAAAATAAAAAAGATTTTAGGAATTTATAAGTTCCAAAACTTATTTATTTAAATAAATTTAAGTAAATTTGGATCCAACAAACCAAAACAAAAAAACCTTTCATATCCAATCGAGCTACCTCCACTTTGCCATGGTTAACCTGTGAAGATTTCGTATTTTTAAACCCGTCCAAAACCTTTATACTAAAGATGCTCCGATGAAACAAATCTAAAACATGTCATTGTCCCGTCTCATTCGATCATGCGCCGAAACAAAATCAATCCTCAACGGCAGAGCAGCCCATGCTTGTGGCAGAGCAGCCCATGCTTGTGTCATCATATCCGGGGCCCACCAAGATGTGCAAACCAACAATCATCTGCTTGCAATGTACACGAAATTGGACCACATCGACTATGCCCAGAAGCTGTTCGACAGAATGCCTGTAAGGAACCTCGTCACTTGGACATCACTTATTTCCGCTTATTCCAAACTGGGCCTCACCGAAAAAGCCCTGTATCTTTTCAGATCATTGGTCCTCGATCTAGAGATCTCCCCAAACGAGTACACTTATGTTGCCGCTATCTCAGCTTGTGCCCAAGCTAATGCCTTGAGGAGTGGGAAAGAGATACATGGAAGAATATATAGGACAGGAATAAGCTTAAACAGCTTCTTGTGTAACTGCTTGGTCAACTTTTACGGTAAATGCAAATTGTCGAATTCGGCAAGGCTGGTTTTTGAGACAATGGCCGAGCCCGATACTGTTAGCTGTGTTTCCCTTGTGACTGGTTACGTGCAGTGTGGTGAATATGAAGAAGGTTTGAAGATTTTCACTAGATTTTCAAGATTAGGAGTTAAGGTCAACGAGTTTCTGTACGGGAGCATTTTAGGCTGTTGTGCTGCATTAGAGAATCTGAAAGCCGGTAAGCAAATGCAGTGCATAGGTATCAAGAGTGGTGTGAGGATGGACCAGTTTGCTTTCACGAGTTTGATTAATTTTTACGCAAAATGTGGGGACGTGGAATTGGCGGGCAAGGCACTGAGGGAGTCGGATAGGCCAAACGTGACAGCATGGACTGCTCTAATCGGAGGTTGCGTGCAAGTTGGGAAATGCAGAGTGGCAATAGGTCTTTATAAGGAGATGTTTTCTTCTGGGTTGATACCGAGTGAGAAGACTTTTGCTTCTGTTCTTGGGGCCTTTGGTAGGGAGGAGGAAGTTCAAGGTGGGGTACAGCTCATTTGCCTGATTAAGAAAGCGGGATTCGATTCGTTCACTTTTGTGTCCAATGCCGTTTTGGATTTTTACTCGAGGGTCGGTTTTCTCGACGAGTGCTTCGTGATATTCAGTGAAATTGGCACACGTGATGTCGTGAGCTGGAATTCTTTGATAGCTGGATGTGTCGGCTTTGGACATCATAAGACAGCGGCTATATGCGTGCAGAACATGGTTTTGGACGGTTTTGACCCTGATATGTACACATATTCGTGTCTTTTGCGCGTTTGTGGTGATTTACCAGCAGCTGAGTGGGGTAGGCAAACTCATTGCCGAGTCGTGAAACCGGGAATGGATTCCAATGTCGTTGTCGGTAGTGCTCTTGTCGATATGTATGCTAAGTGCGGGCGGATGGGAGATGCTCGGAAATTTTTCGACATTCTTCCGAATAAGAATATGATCACTTGGAACACCATGATTTCAGGTAGTGAAAAATTGAATACATTATCTGTTCATTTGTACAATTATATTTTATGTGGTAGCTAGGAGAATATAATATTACTAATAGAAAAACTTAAATTACCAAAATATATTTGTGTTTTTATTTTTTTTGCATTTGCTTAGTTCTAATACACGAGTTCGAACTATTTGAATAAGTTTCTCTACTTAAAATTGTTACTTCAGGTTATGCTCGACATGGTTTTGGAAAGGAAGCTTTGGAGATTTATGACATCATGCTGAAAAATGGAGTGAAGCCGAACGATGTAACGTTTATTGGGGTGTTATCATCATGTCTGCACACGGGGGCTATGGAGGAAGCACTGCACCACTTTCGTTCGATGACGAATGATTTCGGAATTTGTCCGCGGACAGATCACATAGCCTGCATCGTTAGTCTATTTGTCCGAAAGGGCCAGACGAGAGCAGCGTATGATTTCGTGAGGAGCCTTCCGGAGGAGTCCAGCAAAGTGGTGTGGCGTTGTCTGTTATATGGTTGCGTGGAGAATAGAGATCTGAATTTAGGTTTATATGTTGCTGAAAAAATTCTTAGTACTGATCCAAATGATACTTCTGCTCGTGTCTTGTTATCGAATATCTATGCAGGCTCGGATATGTGGAAGGAAGCTTCCCGAGTAAGGGAAATAACAAAAGGGATGAGAAAGGAGACTGGGTATAGCTGGACTTGAATGGAGAATAATGGTTTTGTTTTTCTTATCCTGCCATCNATTTTAATTAAATCTCCTTACGTTTGCATGATGTGGTGAAAGAAGAGGGAGTAATGTATGCAAATGAAATGAGAAAGGGAAAAGGAAATGGAGAGCTCTGGGGAGCTAAATAGTAGAGGCTAAAGATTAGTTTGACGAAATTTGGGTGATGACCTGATGGAGTAGTTGAAGGAAGTATAAATACAGTATGGGTTCATTGATCCTTTAGCTTCATTGAACATATTTGGAAGATTTCTTGCCAGTTCACCGCCGGACATGTAGATTTCTGAAGTGTCACCAAGTAAAAGGCTCTTTGGCTGACAGAAAGCAGGCAAGTCATCATGTGATGTTGCTACACTGATGTAATGAGAGCCCCTAGGCACTTATGAAAGAGTATTTCATCCTACAACCCAAAGGATGGAAGGAAGTGTTTGTTGGAATTCAAGAGCTGAAGTAACCAGCAAGGTCTTGATTCTTAAGTATTTAAATGCTAATTAGAATTATTTGGTTAACAACTTTTAATTGAGTTAAAATTATTAAATTTAGTAATTTTTAAGGTTATTAATCTTCATAGTTTATAAATCAATTTCGATAATTAATTTATTAATAAAATTAAACAAGCTTAATTGAATAAAATGGAGCTATGCTTTTATTAAAAGAACTTGGCGCTAATAAATCGATTAATGTTAACTTAAACCCTGCAGTGCGCTATACTGACTATTGATCCACTCACATAATTTTAATTACTCATCACTCGCAATCACATCTCCCCTATTTTTAAATCAAAATAATTTTTATTATTTTATTATAAACAATATTTTAATACAAATTCAAAATCTCATCAAATCTGACCTAACTAATTTTTTTAAAATTAACTATAATTAAAAAAAAAAAATCAATTAAAAAATCTACAAACGAGCACACCCTTATTAGACATGTACTAGTGTATAGAATGACCCAAGAGAATCTACCTTTTTCTTTTTAAAACTAAACGGGACCGCCATACAATTTGTCCCATTTAACAACTCCAAAGACCAGCTGCCGTAAATAATTTCTTCTTCTTTATCTCGGATTTTTGTTTTTCCTTATTATTATTAATTAATCTTTCTCTCTCCTCTCAGCATTTGAACATTTCTTATCCATTTCTTTTCATCTCCCACCCACTTCTCTCTCTCAATCATGTTAAAGGACCGCTCACAAAAGTCTCACGCGTGATCTAGATAATATATTATTATATCTTATACTACCAAACCACGATTTTTCCAAATGATTGATATAAAACTTGAGACAATTAATATCCGAATATTCTGGTGAACAAGATTGATGGAAGAAGGAAAGAGAGGTCTCCATATAGTGATGTTCCCATGGCTAGCCATGGGCCACATCAGGCCATTTTTCCGACTTTCCGTCGAACTAGCTCAAAAGGGTCACCGGATTTCCTTCATATCCACTCCTTCAAACCTACAAAGAGCCGTCAAAGTGCCTCCTCACTTAACCCACCTCATCACCCTCGTCAGCTTCCCTTTGCCGCAAGTCGACGGCTTACCTCTCCAAGCCGAGTCATCCATGGACGTGTCCATGCCTAAACAACATCTCCTCAAAGCAGCGCTCGATTTGCTTCAACCGTCCATACATTCCTTTATGGAGAACGCGGTGCCTAAGCCGGATTGGATCGTCTACGATTATGCCTCCCATTGGCTGCCCGCTCTAGCGCGGGAGATCGGGATATCGACTGCCTTTTTCAGCCTCTTCACGGCCGCTTTCATGGCATTTTTAGGGCCGCCATCTGCTCTGATCACGAGCCAGAGGTTGACCGCCGAGGACTTCACGATCGTGCCCGACTGGATCCCTTTCCCGAGTAATATGGTTTTCCGCCGGCATGAGTTGGCCAAGAACATGGAGAAAGGTACCCAAAACATTCTCCATTGGTCAAAATGTTTCGATTGTTACGTTAATGCAGATTAAGAAAAAAAAAAAAACAATTAATTCTAAATGGTGAAATTTTTCATGATTACAAGATCTTGACGGACACGACTACGACTCGGGCACGTCGGATTCTGTCCGATTTGGGCTCTCCGTAGAAGGGAGCCAAATTGTGATCTTTCGGTCGTGTCCCGAGTTCGAGCCAGAGTGGTTCCGTCTCGTATCCGAACTCTACCGAAAACCGGTGATTCCAATCGGTGTCCTCCCACCCAAAGAGGACAACTACCAATTGGAGGAGGAGTGGCAAAGGATCAAAGAATGGTTGGACGCCAGAGAGGAAAGCTCGGTTGTTTATGTGGCGCTCGGGAGCGAGGTCACATTGTCAAGCGAAGAAGTCCACGAGTTGGCCCTCGGTCTGGAGCAGTGTGGGTCCCCCTTCTTTTGGGTCCTCAACAACAACAGCAGCAACAACAACAACAACAGCAACAGCAACAACAACAATGGCATCGAGATGCTCACTAGAGGGATGGTGTGGGGAGAGTGGGCCCCACAAGTGAGGATACTCGGCCACCCGGCTGTCGGGGGGTTCTTGACGCATTGCGGGTGGAATTCAGTGACCGAGGGCCTCGGTTTTGGGCGTGTTCTCATATTGTTGCCCGTGATGCACGATCAGGGGATGAACGCGAGGCTCCTAAGGCAGAAGGGTGTCGGGCTAGAGATACCGAGAGATGAAAAGGATGGGTCGTTTACGTGGGCCCACGTGGCGGAGACTGTGAGGGCGGCGATGGTGGGGGAGGAGGAGGGGAGGAGGGCAAGGGAGAAGGCAAGGGAGATGAAGGAGATGTTTGGGGATGAAAGTAGGAGGAGGGGTTATGTGGACAATTTGGTTGAATGCATGGTGGGGAATAAGGCCAAGATGTTGTTACCTCAGTAACTAGATGGTTTCGACTGTGCAACGTACCACCGACTATTATTTGTTTTTCATTTAGTATTGTAATTTGTCGGTATTTATTTTGAACATAGTAACACCACAATTAATTACCACATTCAACATCAAACAGGGACAAAATAATGCAACAACAAATTTCATCTAACCCAGTTCATAACTATTCAATTTATCACCCGTTTGATTCAACTGTAAATCGTCGACCCTTGGGTCTAGTGTAAATGTCAAAGTATTGCACGATGTAAATCGTCGACCCTTGGGCCTAGTATAAATGTCAAAGGGCCTAGTGTAAATGTCAAAGTATTGAACGATGAAGCCCACCAGTAGGCTTCATAGTGGAACCAACTTTCTATATACAACAAGTAAATTATACCATATTAATAAAATTATAAGTATTTATTTAAGTAATCAGAGAATGTGGTATAATTTAATTGTTATATATAGAATGTTGGCTCAACTATGAAACCAACTGTTGGCCTCATAACAAAATACAAAATTGAAAGATTATATGGGTTGCAGAGATGTACATGCTCCTAAAATATTTTCCTACAACTATACCAAATGAAGTTTGTTCCAATAATCCGTAATTATTTCATCCGTTTAGGAGGAAGACCCCCTAGGTGCAAATTAGTTGCATAACCAATAAACTAGCAACTGAGGCTGTGAGATTTCAAATATAATTAAAAAATTTATCCCACTTAATATTTTAAAATTAGGAATATTTCCTACCAAGCATATTTCATAAATAAATATCGCACACTCAATTATTAATAGGAATAAAACATAAACAGAAATCCAACTGTTATGATTTTTAAAACCAGAGTTACATGGGTCATCCAAACATAAACAACCAAAGATTAGTTTTACCCTCAGCACCTTTGCTTAGGTGATCCAAACTCAAACACCCCTAATAGATTTTTCCCTACCATCTCTTCTCCTGCATACGTGTCATCGAAACTATGCATGTGCTAAGGTTATCGAATTTTAAGTTCCACGTTTGATTATGTCACCAGGAGCTTCTCAACCTATACAAACAAGCGATAAGTACAATAATAGGAAGCAGTGACCAAATTAATGGTCGACCAAGAGCACAATCATTTGCAGTTTGCAAACTCCACTAAATAGCGTTGCTTGTGTAATCCCTTCAAAATCATGTACCTTTGTATAAACCAGCTGATACCATAATAAACATGGATACAACCCACCATGTAATTTCATTCACTTTCGAAAATTAGCCCAATCAAGGTACCACAAATAGTGCAGTACGTTAAACATTTATCTTAGCTAATGAAATTAGCTCATACGCAAATCGAAAATAAAGAGTGCATAAAAATCAAATAACTCAAGTGCATAAGCAAATCACAACACACGACAGTAGAGAAAAGAATACTTAATAGCAGCAGTCTTATCTACCTCGTCCCTTACATGCAAGTGAGGAGATTTTATTACATCATCTGTCACTGCTGGGCGCACTGCACTCTCTGGGCCCCACCACCATGCATGTCATCATCTTCCTCGTATGCCTCGTGAGCCGCCTGTTGCTTCCTACGCATCTCCTCTTCCATGTTGACGTCGTGCAAAGTGGTCTCCTCACATTCATCTAATTCCATATCAGTCAGTCGGGTTTGGGCCCTAGCTGGAAGAACAGCCTCCAGAGCCTTGCTTTGCTCGGGACTCAATGACTCTGGAAAATCCACGGAAAACTGTATATACAGTTTCCCCTTCATGAACGACCTCTGGTACATAGGCATTCCCTCATCATTAATAGCCTTGAATTGATCTGGCACACCAGAAAAAAATAATTAAAGGACAAGAAAAAAGGAAAATATATATATTTTTTAAATACCCAAGTAGATTTACAATTGAAAGTGTCAGTGTTAAAGCCAGCATTCAAAACTGCAAGTTTCTATTGGATTACCTGGCTTGACAACTTCCCCAGGTTCAGATTTGACAAGGAGTTGACGGTTGTCGAGATGAGTTAAGATAAACTGGAAGCCACAGAGTGCTTCAGTCAAAGTCAAGGTATGTTCGACAAATAGATCGTCACCCTTTCTTTTAAACTTGGGGTGCTCTTTCTGTTGAAGTACAAAGACGATATCTCCTGTAACAGTGTCGGGCTGCCAAAAATAACACAGTAGATTTGAGATTTGGCCAAGAAATTAAAAGGATCGGTTAAACCTCATGGGCATGTTCAACATTTAAAATAATTAAATAAAAATATATATATAATTGTGCTTTTCCTAAAATTACCGCTTCATCGGCCTCCCCAGGGAAAGTGATTTTCTGACCATGTTGCATGCCCTTCTCGACAATCACTTCCAGAACTTTTTTTTCCTGCACAACTTTGTCACCCTTACACTGTGAGCAACGATCCTTGTCGTTAATAGTTTCGCCAGTTCCCTTGCACTCATTGCAAGGATGCTGCATTTGCTGGATCATAGAAGGGCCAAGATGCCTAATAGAGACTTTCATCCCAGATCCTTGACAGCCCGAACAATTCATAGAAGCTCCCGATTTCGATCCTTTCCTGCACTCCCCTCAAAAAGTGAAAAATAAAAACAGTCTACTTTAAACCAAAAAATAAAGGTGGCGAAATGACAGTGTAGACAAGTATCATGGCCACAATAAATTTACCCCTTGCATTTGGAACAGAGCACATTACGCGAGAGAGATAGTTTCTTTGAGGTCCCATTATACAGGTCCTCAAGGGACACCTTTAAAGGATGAATAACATCTTCTCCCCTTCTTTGCCTCCTACCCCGGCTACTTCCACCGCCTGGGAAACATATCAAAAATAATATTATGCAGTGAGTGTGTGTGTGTGTGCTCTTTTTCAAGGGGACATCAATATTTTAATGATACTCAAATAAAAAGTAATCAGAAAATGAATGTAATCTATATATATATATATATATATATATATATTAAGACAACATTTAATAAAAATCTTCCATATATAATCGTTGGCAAACTTCAATAAGTTTTATTCAGACAACATTTAATAAAAATCTTTATGACCAACATTCAAATGACAGTTACACAAAGTAAAACTTTATTATTATTAATTTTTATTTTATAACAACTTTACAAGATTTTAAATTTTCTGAATATGCAATATTAAATTATTTTACAGCTAATATTCTTATTTTGTATTATAGTTATACAATAAAAAAAAAATTGATTTATATGGAAGTTAACTAAATTATATTTATATTATACATTTACATATAGTCAAAATTTTAAAATGTAATACACACTTTATCCAATTTAAAGTTTTAAATATCATATAAATATAATATATAAATCTTTGTTTCCCTCTGCACAGGATCGAATACTAGTTAGTCCTTAATATCCAGTAGCATATAAAAGAGGACAAATATTTATGGTCCCAAACCAGGTAACGTTTGGCTAAAACTCATTGGAACAAGAAAAGGCCCAGCTGAATCTGAGTCATACAAATAAGCATATGAAGGGCCTCTTGAACTAAATCAATAAAAAAAAGGTCTTTTTTATGAGTTTGATTGTTGGGGTGCCCTTGTTTACATAAAAAAATTCCTATATATATGAAAAGCTTTATATTTGTGCAGTTTGAGTGTTATTTATAAAGATATGCCGGGGAATCAAAAGCTCACCTCCAAAAGGATTACCACCGAAAAAGGATTCGAAGATGTCAAAGGGGTTGTGGCCCCCACCGCCTCCACCTCCCATTCCTTCCTTGAGAGCATCCTCACCATACTGATCGTAGATCTCACGCTTCTCTGGGTCACTCAAGACTTCATATGCTTGAGCAATCTCCTTAAACTGGTACATAAGTAGGAGTGGAGTTCAGCAAAGAGATAACATGGAAAGAACTAGTGAAAAGGCTATAAATAGGTTTTGTCATTTGAATAGAAACAATATAGAGATTACATAAATTCAGTAGATACAGCTGAGTGCAAAATATATGTGCTCGTCAGTTGCAAGTGTTGGCTTCATAAGACACACACACACACACACACACACACATATATATATATAGAGAGAGACAGAGAGAGAGAGAGAGCCAAGGAGGCTAATTCAGATTAGTCCTCCATTCAGTTTCCCGTTAGTTTTTCCAATAACCTAGCCCACACATAAAACTTTGTTTAATTTTTTATACAGCATATTTAAATTATCAAAAGGAAGAAGATTTAATCAGCAAATAAAAATGACAAAAAAATGTCAAAGCATGAACTCAGCACCAATAGTAAACCTAGAAAAAGTAGATTTTGACCACAAAATAGACGGTAAAAAGACAAATCAAAACGGTGAACACTGAAAAATCAAGAAAATAAAAAGGGCTACCTTCTCAGGATCTCCGCCTTTATCGGGGTGATTTTTAATAGCCGATTTGCGGTAGGCCTTCTTCAGGTCATCCTGTGAAGCATTCTTTGACACTCCCAATACCTCGTAGTACTTGGTGTTATCGCTCTTCCTCGGTGCCCTCCCAAACATCTCTACTGTCGTTTAACTTTCTTCAAAATCAATCAAATTAAATTACTCATCGAATCGACCAAGCAAAAAAGTAGAAAACACTAGACAAAATCAAGAAATATGTCACTACACAATCGATCTGCAATTAAATGATGAATTAGGGCATCAAACTGTGTACGGGCTTACAAAACAAAAGTGAGGGCGGCTTGAGAGGCGGAGGTAACGCGAGCGAGAGAGGAAGAGATGAGGAATGAGCAGGTCAGTGGCTTTATTTGGGGAAAGCACATCGGACGGCTGAGATTGGTTGAGGGTAAACCGACTGCCTTCCAAACAAGGCTCTATATTATATTAACTTGTTAAAAGAATACTTACACGTACTTTTTACTACTAGTTCGGGGCAAATTAGATTACTAAACTCGAAAATTACTGATAAGCTGTAAGCTACCTTATCAGTTATTTTTATTAAATAGTCTATACACAATTTTTATAATTAATAATCTCATTATGGTAAAAAAAAAAAAGTCGGCAATTTGGATCTCCACTATGTCTGGCGGCAATTGTACCTAGTGACATGCAGTGGCGCCTAAGCCGTCGGTCAGACATGATGCCGGCAAGAGTCGGGGTAACGGCGAGGTGCGCCAGCGAGGGGCGACGGGGTGGCATGGCAGTCATGGCAAGCCGACGAGAGTATGGGCCACGGTGGAGGTGTTGCCGTGAGAGCGGTTGTAGGCGATGATCGGTGATGGCGGGCGACGACCGACGATGGCTGGATTGTAAAGGGTCTTGCGCGTATGTGTATTTGTGTAATGTGTGTGTGTGTATAATGTATGTAATTTGTGTGTGGGAATTGTGTGTGAGAGAGAGAGATTATGAGAGAGACTTTGTGGCCACGAGTCACGTTTGAGTTGGGGTGTGTTGTGGGTCCGATGTTTTGGGTATGCTAAATTACTACATTATCTTTAATGAAAATATATTTTGACTTTTTTATTAGCCACTAATACGAATCCCGTGCGATGTACGGATAAGAGATATTCATTAATATTTGAAAATTAAATGATCATTAAATAATATCTATAAATTAAAATATGGAACCAATAGGTAATACAAATTACCTATATTAATTTATTTAAAGTATTATATGAAATTTAAATTGTGAAAAATTACATAAAACTCGTCTATATAAAATTAGTATACAACCCGTACGCCTATATTAATTTATTTAAAATATTATATAAAATTTAAATTGTGCAAAATTACATAAAAGATGTCTATTTAAAATTACTATACAACCCGTATGGTACACATAACTGATAATAAATTTCATTATATTTATTTCAAAATAAGTGTCATTTTTTTTTTTTTGAAATTCTACTTGAATACAATGTGTTCCATAAAATAATTATTTTGGTAGAATCTTGTCATATATTTAAAAATCTATGTGACTAATCACGAATGTAATATATGTGTTGTCTCCGATTTTAATAATTCCTAGTGATTGTAGCATAGAAACAAATTGTAGTAAATCATATAAATTTGACTTTTGTGATTTTATTTATTTTTGTCAACAAATAATTTCTAAACCTTTTCAACTATATCAATAACGTGTTAAATAGATCCTACCCTTAAATAACCGCTAATCTCATCAATTAGATAGTTACTAATATAATTAATTTGTTGCTTAAATCTCAGATTTTAGTAATTCTTGATATATTTTTGAATTTTAATAATTTTTACCTTAATCAATGTGTATTATGATTTAATTATTTCTTTAAATATTGAGCCGCAATTTCCATAAGTGATGATTTAAAATATATCATAAATTATTAAATTAATTTTCAAAAATAGTAAATAGATTTCTTTTAGGAAATTAGTTACTATTTAAAAAATAATCAAATTTCTTGATATAAACTAATACGTAACCCGTGCGATGCACGGGTCTGAGTTTCTAGATGACCTGTCCATTAGGTTTTAAAAAATAGTGTTAGATCGTCTATTTTACACCTCTTTTGATCATCGTTATTTTTTAGTCATAACGTTAAACCTCAGCCTATTAGCTCTAGTATGTAAATTAATTATTTGCTCTAATATGTAAATTAATTAACATATTATCTCGCTAAAATGTTGATACTAATATAAATTTGATTTTAGTATATATATTTATTCTTTAATATAAAAAATAATAGTTTTACATATTCTGGTATAATACTTAATTTATTGTTTTATCATAAAATTTTATTGTCATTATAATTTTTTAATAAATATTTTAGAAAATAAAAAAAATATTTATCTATTTACAAACTCATTATCTCGAGTTTGAAACCATAAATTTTATTCTTAAAATAAAATTTGGAAAATTTTAACTTGTAATCAAAGATGAATTTGAATTGATTTGAAATTCCTAATTCATCTCAAATTTATTTTGTGAAAAAAGGCTATCCAAAATGTTTATACCAAGAGTCCTAATATTTTTAAATTGTAAAAAGTCTTCATGCAAAATATCTCCACTTACTTTGCGGACCACAATATCGTATTTGATTCAACAAATTAATTAATTTTAGGAAGTGAATAGTTGTGTATGTATAGGAAGAAATGTGAAAATTCAAATTCCAAAACCAATACCATAATATTGTATTTGATTAAACAAATTAATTAATTTTAGGAAGTGAATAGTTGCGTATGTATATGGAAGAAATTTAAAAATTCAAATTTCAAAACCAATATCGTATGTAATGGGTTTATACCAAGTTCTCAATTTTTTCAAAATTGTATAAATCCTTCATGCAAGGAATCTTCACTAATTTGGGGATCAACAAATTACTTTAATTTAGGAAGGCATAAATTGTGTACGTGGATACTGTTTCTGTTGTATGTTTAAAGAAAATAAATTCAAAAATGGTATTGATATGGGATTGTATTATGAGAAATTTAACAAAAATACAAATTTTTAGGACACGATTTGATTTGAATTTTTTAAATTAAATTCCACTTTTTTAGGCCGTTTAAGTCAAATGATGATAAGGATTAATGTTAAAAAAGAAAAAGAAAAAAAAAATCTAAAAATAGTAAGCAATTAATGTTATCCTAAAATTTCTACTTACTATTTATGATAAATAGTAATTCTTATTATATATATATATATAGAATAGATGTAGATTTGAGAATCTGAATAAATGACTAAGACATATTTTATTTTTTTTCAAGAACCAAATCTCACTTGAATTCAACCATATATATAATATGGAGATGCTCTTTGACACTATAAGCCGGTTTCTTAATCACAAATCACAATAGCCTGGATTCGAAGTGGATCGAGATTCGAGAATACGGGAAGAGTTAACAAAAAGGCTCGAGACTCTCTCTCTCAAACACACACATTTCCTGGATTTCTTTGTATATTGGTATCGCCGCTTAAAAGATATGCTCGAGACTCTACAAATATTGCCCACGTAAACTATAATTGCAAAATTCAATTCGAGTTTAACTGGATCTGCTAAATGCCTTTCATCCATTTCTCGTGATAGTCAGGTAACCGTTCAAGTCTTTCTTCTTCTTGTTTAACACATTTTTCTGGAGTTTTTTTGCAGTTTCTGTATCAAATTTTAGAATTTGATTTGTTTTATTGTTTTTTTGAAAATTCAGATTTCAGGCGATCAGCGAAGTTTTCATATGGCTAATTCATACACGACATCAAATTTCAGGGTAAACCGTGTTCTGCTGCTGAGAGTTATATTAGTTGTCGTTGGCTTATTGTTGATTTGTTGTGTTGAGAGGCAATCCAAAAAATATTCAATCACATCGTGCCCTACTTGTTCTTGTGATTGTGATCCAGAGCCAACAGTATCTCTGCCTTTAGGTGACTCCTACGTTCACTCTTAGAAGAAATTAATTTCACAACTTCTCTTTTGGCTTTTGCGTTGTTTGTGCATAACATGACTGATGATGTACATATGGCTATATTACTATACAGTGATGATGTTTGTGCATGTTTGATCGACATATTTCATATTCAATCTCTCATTTAGTGTATTCTCTGTTTACTAATGATTGTTGATCTAGAAAAGAAAAAAGGATAATTAACAATTCATGTTAAGTGTTATCGAATTTTCATCATGGCTCTATTGCGTGGCGGATTTCTGCCTAACCACCATTAGATTTTTGAAGGATGGCATTATGGCGGCCCCACGCCACGCATTAGTGGGCGCTATGGCAGCTGTTAAGGAGGGATTTCAGCATACCACCATTATTTTAGGTCCGACATTGATGGCACCATATCATGAATTACCTAGTGATACTCTTTCTCAAATTTCCCTACAAACAAATATTTGTTCTTTCTGTAGTTTGATTAATTACTTTGTCTCTTTTATTTATCTAATTTGATTTGATCTCTTTCCATATTTTAAGATTTTCGTATACTACATAATTCAAAGATTAGTCGAATATGAAAAATAATTAGAAACAAATAATTTAACCTAAAACAACACTTATTTGTAAACTGAGGTAGTACATTTGATCTTTTTGTCAGTTATGGGTCAAATTAGTAGTCTTTTTTTTGTGTGTGTGTGTTTGTGTGTGTAGTATCCTCTTTACCAAATTTGGGTATTGAGAAAACCTCTAAATTATGCTTTAGTTTAATGTCTAATATAGAGTTATTTGAATTGGATACTCTGACACGAAATAATTAGGATACAATTTTTTGTCAACTGCAGTACATTAATAGTAGCAGCTTATTGATTTGGATGGTGGTTTGAGTTGTATGACCTGCCTATTTATTGTGCGACAGAAGGGGTTTAATGTTAAGGTAATTGACCATGAAGTCATGAACACTCCTATTCCATCTTGAATTATATATTTTGATTTGTGTGTGTCTAATGCATGCCTTTGAGTTTAATCTTAATCTGTATGGTCATGGTATGGTAAGCATCCATTAAATATTAATTTCTTCCAGTGACGAATTAGTTTGTAGCCTTCCTTGGCCTACATGTAATTGTATGATATGAATTACAATTGGAGATTAGAATAATCTGAGGTAACACAGGTCTCTATTGTATATATGTTGGATGCAGCATGCCTTTGTCCAAGAAGACTCATAATCTCATCACTTGAATACTCGGACTTTCTATGTAACCGAAACCTAGTAAATATGAACAAAGAAGAAAACATTCTTGGATGTTAGTCGTAAATGGGAAGATTATCAATTGTTATCTTTTCAGTTTACATAGTCTGCATCATCATAAGATGGCAAAACACTCTAATCAAGTGTCTAGTTTGCCAAGAATAATTGTCACTTTAAGATTGTCTTCTACGCTGTTTCTAAATACACAGAACTACAAAGAGGCTATATATGAAAATTATATAATGTTGTGGTTTGAGATGGTTCTCAAGATCTGGTTCAGTGGTATGAAGTTAAAGAACCTCAGATGTGGTTCCATACGTAGGCACCAAATTGCTAAAACTTTCCTTTGGGGTTTGCATTTTGTTTTGATAAAACCTCGTAATAGGTGTAGTTTTGTAATGTGGAAACAAATTGAAGAGTTTTTTCTTTTTTTATTTTGAAGGATAATTCTGTATAAGACTAAAGTCTCAGGGTAGTTTTTATAACCTTCATTGTTTACACACAACCATCAACCACATAGAAAATGGCAAGCATTATGAGTGTTCTTGAATGGTGCTCCTTCTATCCTAAATTTATGGCTCTTACTGTTTCATTATTATGCTCTTAACATTTTTTTTTTCGTTTCCTTTTTGAACTAGATACTTATTTATGCTATCTATGTGGCACACACTACTATGTCTCAATCAGATAATAGTTTATAGCACTACAAAGTTTTCGCCCTTGTCTGCATATCTATATTTTAGGAAATCTAATCTTCAGATTGGATTTAGAGAATGCACATATACATATATATATATATATATCTACATGTGAAGCATTCGTTATTATATGTAGTTTCTTAAATTATTGTGGTGGCAAGCTATTCATGCCGATCTAAGAAGCTGCACCATGTTTCCGGAAGCTAGCAGTGTGAACATAACTCGATGGACTATACCCCACTGGGAATAAAATTGCTACATATAAAACTTATATGCATGCACGAAAAGAGTAGTGGGTTGGGGAGTGGGGTAAGTTTTGATAAGTTTGGATTAAACTTTAGCTCTGTCATTGATTTACTTTTTGTGAAGCTATTTTGAGAGGTTTAGAAGAAAAGAGCAAGATTTTACTCAGCTTCTTGCACTTCGATATAAACTTTTTTCGGGAAATTTGTGCTAGCAGTTACATAGTGATTTTTCAGACTTATATCATGTAACATGGCCATACTTTGGATCTAAGAATGCTTACATGTATATGCTTGAAGAACATGTGAAGTACTACATGGTGGAGTTCTGATTCTGAGTTTTGTGATTAAAAAACGTACTTCACAATGCGTGTCTGTGTGTTAGTGAGTGAGATTTTCTTGTATACGTATGCCCTACTTTATGCAGCATTTTTTGAAAGATGTCTTTGGTTTCTTAAAAGATTGCAAGTTCCTTTACGGATCATAATTGTACTCTTGTATCAGATCTTGAATTCATGATTTGTTGGGTCTTAGTAACTTTTCTTTTCATTTTTTCTCATTGTGCAGATGTCATCAACAACTCATTTGCAGGTTAGTTAAGTTTTTGCTTGTTTTTATATTCTTTTGCTATGTTGCTGAAGATTTTTTTATAAGCTTTGTCAGCCTTAATTTATTCTTTTTAATAAAGACCTTCTATACTGGCCTACAACTCATGCTCCAAAGAGATTTGGACCCCTGATCTCTGCCTACTGAAAGAAACTCACAAATACCACAAGGCTAAACCTTAGTGGTTACCATTAGATATAATATATTAATATTAAACTCATCCTGATACATGTATTTGTTTCTTCTAAATGAAGATTATGATGTTTAGCACTGTCAAAACAGTCTGCAGCCCGAGGTCCCGCTGTCTGGATTGTTATTCCACATAAACAGATGAACTTAAGCCTCCATTTGGCCATATCGTTAAATTAGGGTCCTATTTTACCTGTCCCATCTGACCTAGAAGACTTCTTTTTCTGAAAATTGAAAATTGTACTTACGGCAGCTAGCATTACCTCTTGTTTTGGGCTCTGTTTGAAAGAAATAATTGAACAAAATAAAACCAATAATCATAACAATAGCATTAAAAATGAATTAAAAAAAAATCTCAAGGTAACAAGTTGCTTTTGATAGGAACTTGTTTGTGTTTTCTTTCCATTCATCAAATATTACATTTTTGCTTATAAGTGCTTGCAGATTGCGGCAAAGATGATCCTGAAACATACAATGAGTTGAAGAAAGATCTCATAGCCGTTCTATCCGAAGAGATCAGCTTACACGAGAATGTAACCACTGATACCTTGCAACGTACAAAGGCATTAATTATGGGCACCAATAGAACATCTTCACATTACCAGAAAGAAGCAGCAAAGTGCAACATAGAAATGGAAACTTGTGAGGAAGCTAGGGAAAGGGCTGAAGTTGCACTCATAGAAGAACGCAAGCTTACAACTTCATGGATGAGCCGAGCTCACGAATTTGGTTGGGAAGATGACTCAAATGATTTCTGATGAAACTGCTTTTTAGTTTCATTATCCTTTAGGGATAATTACGAGAAGTAACTTTGGTCAGCCTTACTATGAAGAAACTCTGATTGACTTCTCAGAATTACAAATATCCTTTCAAGTGTAGCACAAGGGAAAAAGTGAGTGGGATTTGTAATTTTAGAAGAAAGATTGGGGTTTCTCATGATTAGAGTAAACGTCATGGATAGTTTTTGTAATTAACCCTTTCTTTTTTAGTTTTAGTAGTGCAATGGTTCTTTTTTACTTCTTAAGCTTTTTGTATATAGTTCTTTTAAGAGAGCTTCCATTCATTTAACAAGTTTTGGAGCTCGTTGAAAGCAAAACTGTGCAGACAGTTCATATTGGAGTATTTAGTTGATGCCATTTTTTGTTTTTTATATTTATCTGATGCTTGTTCAAGTTTAATGAATCTTTGTGATTATGTTAGCTCAGCTATGATTTTGTAGACCTCCTTGTTTTTATATAAATAAATGCCTATCTGACGTTGTAAGCTAATCCATTTTTTAATAATTTTCTGACATATGCAAATAAATATAACTGTAGTTATTTTGCTAATAATTATATGAGTAGTGTAATTTTCTTGATTTTAAATTCTCAATCTAATCCATTGCTTAATGAATACTATAAGGTAACCATTATATTCTTTAATTCCTTGACATTGACAAATGAAAATCACACAGTAATTCGTGCAATCATAACTCAAAATGCGCAGTTTTTCTTAGAAGCTAAAAGGACGACATAACTACTGGGTGTCACAGCTTCAACCTCTAACCTTGTAGCTTTTTAATAAACACAAAATCAGTTCAAGTAGAAAAACAATCAATTATTTTAAGCTTAACAACTCATTACTTCCATTTCGTTTAAACAAAGCAATAACCTTGTCACTCAACCAGATATACTGAAGTTGGAAAACATTTCCAGGTGGAATAATACAACACTGAAAAGAAGGCACACAATCCTTAATTCAATTAGGCTTCATTTTCCTTTACATTACTAAAAAATATGCCACCAGTTTAATATTCTTTTACTTTATCTTACTCGAAAAGTCCCAGTTTAATACTCTTTTATTTCCTTCATTGAACTCGAAAAGTCACAAATGAATATCAGGGTTGCTTACAAAGATAATCCGCGGAGGCACAGAATTTCAGTAATTAAACTAAATACACGCTGTCTAAAACAGCAAACCCAGCTGCAACCCCGCCTTCATTTGAAGAAGAGACCTTAGTCCGCATCAAATAACCGGAATGGTCATTCACGATCACATCTGTCTTGTTCCTGTATATATGCATTTAATTAACAAGACTTCTAAAAATGTGGGCACAAAGTGGGAAAATTCCCGAAACCGCCCTTGAGTTTGGAGTAATCAGTGTTATATGGCGTGGCGAATTATTGACTCTTGAATAAGTCATTTTGTGATCACTCAAAACCTCAGGGTAGTGTTTTTGCGACAGGTTTCCACAAATATTGTCATGCACTAGTATTTATTTCGGTAGTTTTCCTTTCAAAAAAAGCCAAGTTGGCCGCTTACATGTTCTCTTATTGAGTTACAATGAATGTGTAGAAGTACAAATCCAACATGGTTTACCTCAAGTAGGTGCCATATATCCCAAGTTCTGATATAACATGTTCTTTGTGAGAAATCCCGTTCCGCATCAGAACTGCACGTGAAATTACCGGAAAGATTCTCTGCATGAGAATGTAAGCTGCTGCATTTTCTTCCATGCCTTCCTTCTCCATTCTTTGCAACGAGAGCCTCACATCTTCACCATAGATATTGTTCCCTAAGCATAAAGTGTACAAGATAGTCAATGATGCACCCAGATTTGAAGCTTTTTTTACTGCAGTAAAAAAAAAACAGAAATCAAACCTCCTCCCTCTCTTTGAGGCTTCATGACGTACAATCCAGGATTCTCAATTGCATCCTTGATTATGCTTGAGTCATCCAAACTCCATAAACCGGCAAAGCATTTACGCACCTTAGCAATATCATCTTTGTTTTCGAGAAATCTGTTAATGTTCAATAGACGCGCAGAAAAACAATGTTACACGCTCTCCCTCGATTAATACATCTGAAAAATTCAACCTTTAAGAGGGTAATAAGTCCATCATGCAATTTCAACCAAAGAAAATTAAACATTGAAAGAATTTAACTTAATAGTGACAAATATCAACCTTTCAAGTTGATTGGGTTTTGCTAGCTCTTGTTGAATCTTCTTGGTGCCAGCTAAATGATAGGAAATTGAGGGGCATTTGATTGCACTCGACTGCTCAATCAATAGCCTAGCACTCCATTCCTAGTACGACAATGAAGATATTGCATCATTTTGCAAAAAACTTAAGAGCTAGCCTAATCCTGATGTTTCACTCTTCGGGGGTTTAGATGATATAAAGCAACAGCAATATTATTCATATATGTTTAGGAATATTACTAAATGTTGCTACTTCAAAATTTAAACAGAAAATGTTTATTTATGAAGGATCCTTCATTTTTTATTACTTGTGCTGCTGCTGCTGCTTACTAATTATATTTATCACTACCGTTCTTTCATTTGTAGCATTTCGTACTAAACATCTCTAAGATCACTAGTGAAATACATTTGAAAGGTATTGAATTAGTTATTGCCAAAATGTGGACATACAGTAGCTTATATTCCCAGCAATAAAAAGGACTATTGGCTGATCATGTAAGTAGTATAAATACTTCTCAGAGCTTACACAATTAGATGCACATAAATAAAGTTGATATATCAAGTCACGAGGCCTATAGTAAAAACATTTGAAATAAGATTTAGTTACTGATTCTGAGGGATAATCTGTTGGTGCATATCCAGCTCGGAAGTAAACCACAGCAACAGCTTCACCGTCCCTAGAATTGTAGAACTCAATAAGTTCAAAGCAAAGATCATTGCAAACTAGCATTCAGAGTTAATCAATACTCTTACACAATAAGTGATCCGTCGGGTAAAATCTCCCCTTGTGCATCAATCTCTGCCAAGGTCCTTCTTATGCTTCTAACTTCATATGTAAAATTTAGCTAAGGAAATATCTATTGCAGCCAATAAAATCTTTAACTTCACATATGACATATTTAAAGAGTAGTTAGCAGAACAAGATATAGGATATTTTTCCTTCAATACAGTAGAAATCCAATGTTGGTCATACATGTTTCGTTCTTCAGTTTGAACAACAATCACCACCACAGCCCTGCACAGCTTGTTCAAAACAGTAAAATACTTTAGAATGGACACACAAAGAGTACTAAAATCTTAAAAACATGACTCTACCAACCTCGGGTTATTGTATTCGGCCCATGCTCTGTAGAGTGTTTCAGCAAACAAACCAACAGCATTATTTTGGGGAATCCGTAGTGGATCTAAAGCAAGGTGCTGTTTGTATTGATGAAGCAAGCTCCTGAAAATATAAAAGCGTCCCTCCATACAGATGATTAATTCTAGTAGTAAGCTTTTGATTTTTGAAAATATTTTTTACATTAGCAGAAGCATACATATAAGTTATAATAAATATTTTGGGAAGGACGAGTTCTCTTCATCTTCATTCGTTCTTAAGCTACTCTATCAGTTAGCGAACACCAAAATTTAAGTGATAAGATATTTGATCAACAAAAGTTGATGTTTCCTTCATGAGCGCTACATCTTCCCTTCAACTCAGCAAAAGGTGTACATATCCTTAACTCAGAGGACCATATTTACCATATAAGCTAAAAAGTATCTTAACCTAATAAAATAATAATTACACAACAAAACAATATATTTGACCCTTTTCCTTTCATCTACTGATCTATTTAGGCAGTACCAAATTACATTTAAAACACTTCAATTCTGACCACAGTCCAAAAAAGTTTGAATCTGAATTTGATCATAAGAATCTCAATCCAAGTTCACAATTTTGGTAAAATAATTTTGTCTAAGAATCAAGGATCTTTACTATCCGAGTGATGCCACAGGATATTGTGCCTGACTATTATAATCAGTGGTATGAAAAACAAAAATAAAAGTAAGAATTAATAAATAAATCAAGAACATGAAAAATCAAGACATGGTACATGCTAGATAAATTATGTGCACAAAATAAACAAAGTAAATACTGGAAATTGGTACACAATCACAGTCATAAGAGTTTATAGAATTCACTAATGAATATATGCCGATGCACGTGAAGGTCAAAATGGTACAGTCTGAAATGACCTGTGAAGCTCACTAACAAGGCAACTCAGTCCAGGAAATGAAGAAGAAATTGTATTGAGCTCTATTTGAAGAAGTGAATTAGTTTGTTCATCCAGCATATAGTCTGAGCGATGTAGTCCTAGGCGTATTTCCTAGAATAGAAGTAAGTTAAAATATCAGTTCTACTCCAACAGAAAATAAATAGAGACTATCTACATGGTTAGTTCAAGGTCTAGGAAGACTGCATTCTAAATTAATTGGAGCTATAAATAAATAAGTAAATTGTGCTAAACCATGGGGGAAAAGAAAGCTTCACAATGGAAGCCGTACTCTAATAAGGGTGACATCTAATTCACAAAGCTTACGATGCCATAAGAATGTCAAGTACTGTTTCAGAACAAATTTAATCTTTGGGAAAAAGATACAATCCACTGTACTCAAAAAATAAAAAGATATCATGTACTACGTGTGAGAAAAGATAAGTAAAAAAACTACAAAAACCAAAACATAACTATCCATAATGAAGCAAGAAAGAGTCCCTGACTTCCATTGTCCTAGGTCCAACAGTCCTTATTCACCAAGTGTCAATGTTTTCAGTGATTATTAGTTTCGGTTTAAAGCCAATTTGACTTTCAGAAATTCGGTCCAATTTTCATTCTCTTAGTACTCTTTGGTGCCTTACAGTATCCTATTTGAACTACGCACCAGCTTGTCTAAATCTAAGCACCAGAGTTATTATTCTGACCTTCATTTCTCTTTTGTACTTTCTAAGCTACAGGTTAAAATCATATTTTCTTCTAACTACTTCATGTCTCTGTTCAGTTTAGCTAGAGGATTATATTATTTTCCTAAGCTTCATTTCTCTTCACCATTCTAGTCAGAGGTTATATTTATATGGCTTCTGCATCTTTAATTCTTTCCTGTATACCTACAAATTTTAGATGGTCGTTGGGCGTGTCAGTATTAAAGAGTTCAGAATCTTGTGAAATGTTCAGCAAAGTTACTTTGTTTGTCCCGTGTGTTGGCTCAGTTTTACAAAAAAGTTTCAATAGTTTGGGTGCACATGAACTAATGCAATTAAGTTTCCATTTCTATCAAATATGGTCCACTTTCACAAAATTCCTGATAATTTGCTAGCATAGTACGTATTACTTCATACCTTATAATTTTTGCTTTTAGCTTTTAAATAATTTGTTGTAGCAAATTATTATTGTCACCGAGAATGGAATGAATCCCAACCTCAGGTTGATCTCTCGAGGAAGGCGGTTTGGAATCTAGAATAGGTGTCAATCACACAATAAAAGAAAATAAAGTCCTAAACATTCTAATCACGGTGAGTTGAATGATTCATCTAAAAACTAACAGAGGAAGAGAACAATCCCATTATAAGATGGTTGGTGACGAGTGAGATTCTATCCGCAAAATAATTTGGGTTACATGACGAGTGCATGCAGCAATTCAGCGAGAGTCTTGTTTCGTATCTATATCTAAATTACCACTCTAGTTATATATTTAGGACTAGAATAAGGTGATGGGCCAATTTTTTGCTTCAGAAACCTATTTTTTAATTTAAGTTGTACAGTTTAGAGGGCTTTGAGAAAAAGCACAGAGGAGCCTTTGGCTAAGGCAGAAGAAATCCCAATCAGAATTGGACTTGGGGAAGGATTGCCTGCAATTGTTATATTTTCTTCCCATTTCATTCGTTTTCAGTTAATTATCAATTTCAGCTTTGAATTTCTTCCTGCAATTCACCGTTCACTCTACCAAACCTCTTATAATAAAATGAAAAACCGATCAGCAAACTAAATGAAGTTGACTCATGAAACTTCCAAGTCAATTTAAGAATCCTATAACTATAAGTACAAACCTTGCATTAATATAAGAGTAGAGCTGAAGAACACGATTCTGGCTCAACATTGGGTTATGGCGACTTGGCGAGTAAAGATACAGATACATAATCAACAGGAATAAAATAAAATAATAGTTTACATCCTAAATGTACAGACTAAACACATATGCTTTGAAGCTAAGAGAATAAACGTGAAAGAAATACCTCTCTCTTGTTCATATCTAGAATCTTGGCATGAATATCTAGGAGTCTAGCTGTAAAAGCATCAACCCTTTTGGTTCTGCACAGTAAACGTTAGGGAACAAAATTAATGCACCACAGAAATTTCATACTTCTTTCTGATATGTCTACAAGTAAGACTGTTAAACTAAAATGAAATCTTTATGCAAAAACCAGTCTCTCAAATTCAATGACGACAATAAGCAGTAACCACTGCTTTTGAGGACAATAAAGGCACATGAAACTATAGTTATTTCAACTCTCATCTATGACCACACATCAAGGCAAAGTGGATTTTTAACAATGGCTAAGAGGGAGTACAAACCTAACAACAAAATATTAACATGGGCAGAGTGTATCAGTTAGTCAGTTAACTTGATAAAAATATCAAATCCATAGAGATATTAGATCAGAATACTTAACGATCCATGGATGCAAATTGTAAATGCATCCCAACGGATGAATATAATATACACAGAAAACAAAAATGTCTAGATAAAAAGAAAATTCGAGCCTACTAACCTCGAGAGGGATTCCTGCAGGAATTCTGAATTCAAGCTCACACGATCAACCAGTTCGTTGAATATTGGAGCTACTTCGCAAGCTTGTTTCCAGTGACTTTCAGGAAACGGTGTAGGCAGCAAGGATATTGGTGCATGAATTAGGCCGACACCAGGAATCTTTCCTGAGTTCTGCAAATACAAATAAAAAAGAAAAGAAAAGAAAAGAAAAGAGGATCAGAAACTGAAAACCGGCTGCTTAGCTGATACATTAGATTGTGTAAATTAAATATGCACCTCCTATATTCAATTGAAAGATGACCAGATCAAGTTAAAAACATCAAATAAGGTCCATTAAAATCTGAAAATGAAGAACAAAAAAAAAAATAAAAAAAAATGGAACAAGGCCCCCTCCTTTTCACCCTCGATTATAATTACAAAGACCGTAACTTAAAAGAAGAAACGAAAAAAACGAAACTAAAATCAGAAAGACCTTGCTGGGTTATACATGAGTAACTACCTCAATGTTAATACAGAAAGAATACCACAACAGATAAAAGAAAATTAAGATTAATTTCAGGGGGAGAGTTGAAATTATTCAGTTATCCAATCAGAATACCAACCTCCGAAGCCCTGTCTCCAACAAGCAGCCCATGAAGAGAACTCCAAACCAGTGCATCATACTCTATTTTCTGAAGCAAATGTGGGTCAATACTGTGAGGATCGAACAAGGATTTCAGGGTCTCAGTTTGTTTAGTGGCACTCTCAGTGCAATTCGATGGCGAAATTGAAGAGGATGCATTCTTTGCCATGGATATATTCCAGGGCTTTTTAAGGTGGTTTTGAGTTTTCAGATGATATCTTGGCTTCTGCTGCGCCGACTGTAAAATGTAAAGACTATATTCTGTAACTCGTGAAACTGAGACCTGGTGGTTAAGCATATGTTGGTGAGGATGCGACTCTCCGGCCAAAACAAAGGAGCGCCAGTGGCTGAGGGGCTGTGGTAAGTAAAAAATCGTAAGTTGGAAAACACAAATGGGACACGGAATATTGTTTTCTTTCTTCGTATTATCTTTATAATAATATATATTTATATTTATTCTTTTATTGGTCCTTTATTCTTTTAAAATTAATACAGATGACACTCTTTGTACTGTTTCTGGTAGGAGTAGTGCAAGAGGGTTTGCACAAGATTTGATTGGTCGTTGGCTTGGTGGATTTCTGTTTAATGTGGGTTACTATAACTAGTGCGGAATTTTGGGGTGTAACGCCCCACTTTATTTTAAAGGATTAATCGAATTTATTTAATAAAAATCATAATAAATTTTTCGCAAACTTTAATTTAATTAAAAACTCAGTGGGCGCTACTCAAATTTACCAAAAACCTTTATCCGAAAAAGCAACCATCTTAAAACGAAAGATAGCATGCTCGAATATTAGATCATAAACCTCACTAGCATTCATTAAGTTCCAAATCAAAAAATACAATTCATAATTCTCAAATTCAAAACGACATAATCAATATCCAAATTTTCAACATGAGTTCATAAACTAAGCGGAAGCAAAATTAAATAAGCAATAATAAATGACATAACCACCACTCGTCTCACCCGCCAACTGCTTAACCTGCATCAGTTACGAGCAGGTGGGAGTGAGTACAGTTAACTATCGTACTCACACTATGCACATGAATAACTTATAAATGGTATGGTCGCAGCATGAACATAAACAATTAAATCATGTCACATCTCTAGTCACATCAATGACTCTAGTCTCATCAAAGACTCACTCATGTACATCTATGCTCATCAAAGCTAAGCCATGCCATATCAGTGAAACATGGGAGTGCGTGCCACATCAATGACACGGCCTTCTCATAGGTCTTAATGAGATTTACCTCACTGGGTAACCGTATCTTATCATACGGGGACAACCGTAACGATGGCCATCAAGCTCACATCGATAGGCTACATGTTCATTTTCATACATAGATCACACCAAACCTTCATCACAATTTAAAATCACACATATGCATAGATAATTTTAGAATAACCCACCTGGAAATTTCGGATTGATAATAACTCAAAGCAATTTGGAAGTAGGTCGAGGCTGGACTCCTCAATTACCTACATTGAGTCAAGATGCTACAATCAACATCTATCTTGACTTTAAACGGAAAACACAAAACAGACCTAGTCAAACTTGTTTCGACTAAGTAGTTCGTGAAGTCTTGTGGATGTTGGAACACTAAGACTCGGCACTAAACTCGACCAACAAACATGTGAGAGTTCAAATAATTCCATCTAATGATAGACCAAGTCAAACTCACAACAGAACGAAAAGCATGTAAATCACAGATTTAACTTCAAAATCTTAGTTTAGAAATTTCTAGCTATTAATCACATGAAATTCATTGACCAGGCTGCCCTACGACTTATGCCTTGAAATTTTAACCAAAATTACATCTCCCAGTAATTAGTAAAACCACCAAATTTCAGCTTCACACTCAAAGTACATAAATTTATAAAATTCCTACAAGAATTCAGCAAAATGGGCACATTAATTCATACTCAGACTTAATGAATGAATCTGATCTTGAAAATTTTACACAAGAACATAAAGTATGCCAAAGTACACTTGTAAAAATCTCAGCCTTAAATGATAACTGCTGCTATTTTTAAAAATTCAAACGAGCAACAGCAGTTTATCGAATTTAAATCCAAACGGAATCAAAACGGACTCCAAAAATTCCCATCTTTTACAAACACGATTAAACACTTAAAATAAGCCTCTCAGTAAAAATTTAGAATTTTTCATGCAGTAACCAATTTATAAAAATTCAAACAATGTTTCTGCAGATTCGATAAATAAAATATTAACCACATCAACTCAAGTCCAAAAATTCTAAAAATTTAACACAACACATATAAGTCACAGAGGCATGACATATTCGAATTTCAGCTCATTTCAGTCAAGTATGAATTTATTATGCATTTAACAATATTCTGGACAGAATACAAATTAATTATTAAAAATAGCTACAGGTCTCCAAACATTATGAAAATTTTACACAACGCAGAATATGAATAGATAACACATCCCTAAAAATTTCACATCGTTTCGAGCAGCGAGCTATTTTTAAAAATTCGAACATCAAAACAGCGATTAACAAGTTTGACAACTTGACAATTAAATCACAACACACAATTTATCGTCCGAGGCCTTTTCATAAGACCAAGGACTCGACATTGTTCCATTATCCACCGACTTACACGACTTTCGAGGTCTCGTTCAATTTCTCATAATTGAAGAGATCCTCGAACACTTAAACGACACACATAAAATCACAATTATCACATAGCTCGTATCGAACACATTATCGCACAAATAATCACATCTCGCATATCAAATCGTAAATCACACATATTCATAAATAACATAAACGATTTAAACGAGACGGAATCGACTAGGTACCGTTCTCGGGAATTCGGAAAAACGGAACAAACACAAAGAGGCGAACACGAAGCTAATGCTCGACGGCACGCGTCGTCTCGCGAGGAAAGGGCTGCCATCGCTGAGGTGCTGCTCGTCGCTGAGGGGCTGCTGCTAGGTCACCACCGGAGTTGCTGCTCGTCGAGACTGAACGGAGAGGTCGCCGGAGAGTCTGTGCGTGGAGGTTGAGCGATGACACGGCGCGGCAAGGATGGCTCGTCAGAAATCGGGGCTTGCTGCGCGGAGGAAAGGATCACAGCAAGTGGAGTTCTCGTCGTCGGGAGATGGTGGTCTGCTCGAGCTCGCCGGAAAACGTAAAAGCAGGGCCGCCGGAGACGATTTCGCGAGTTGCTGCACGATGAGGGAAGTGATGACGTGTTGATGGCTCACGAACAGAATGGCGATGTCGAGATGACGGGGACTGAACGTGATGATGGAAGGAGGACGATGGTTATTCGCGTCTGGTTCGGCGAGGTGAAGATGAGATGACGATGATGGGATCACGATGATGGTGAGGTTTCAGAAAAATCGAGAAAGAGGAAATCCTCTCTGACTCGCGTCGTGAAGATTAGAGCGAGAGATTTGAGATCGGGAATAAGAAAAATAAAAGGCTGCGGAATCTGAAAATTCTCAGGCCAAGAGAGATGAGAAATCACGAATAAAACATTGGTTCACAAGAAATAAAGTCTTAGAGAGGACCGGATTTTGAGGCTTGGGCCGGACCGGTTTTTTGGGCCAGTTGGGATAACAAAACAGCTCACGGGCTCAAATAAAAATTTAAACAGATATTCTCGGGCCCAATTTCGGTTCCAACGAAAATTATTGGGATCGATTTCGAATGCAAAAGCGCGATAAAAATAAACCGAAAAAAAATAAATATATATATTTTACACATTATCACATACACATTTATTCATATTAATAATTTAATAAATCACAAAATCAAATAAACAATTAGACAAATTTCACAATTAGCATTTAATCACATTTGACAAATAAATAAACTTAATGGCATTCAATAAAATAAAATATAAATATTATCACCAATTAATAATAACAATAATAATAGCAATAAAAATAATATTAATAAATCCCAAATAATCCACAAATAAACGGGGCATTATAGTCTACCCATCTTACAAAGAATTCCGTCCTTGGAATTCGAACAACAAACTACAACGAGATTCTTACTAGAAAAAAAAGAGGAGACAACATCACCACATGAAATTCAGGTGCTTCCTCCGAATTTCGATCTCCCTCTCCCAAGTCGCCTAGCCTTGACCACCCTCCCACTGGACTTGACGAGTACCCCTCCCAGCCTTATCCTAATGGACCCTCTGATCCAATAGGTCACCGGTACCTCCATAGAGGTAGGGTTCTGCCTATCACGCAGCTCGTCGCATCTCACATATACTCCGAGATCACACACACGTTTCCTCCATCAAGAGGCACAGAACGTGTCATGCATCCACGCGAGTTCCGGTGGTGGAGTCAACTATCAGGCTAAGTCATCGACTTGGTCAAGAATCATAATAGGACTGAGTACGCGTGGCAATGACCAGAATAACGGCATACTCCACCCATATCCGTACCAGCCACCTCGCATGGTAAGGAATTCTCACACTCTACCCATCTATCAATACACAAGACCCTAACCGGTCCTTTCGTGTCTCGATAGCATACTCCAACGGAATCAACATACAGGGTTGACTCGTAGGATCGAGCTTCCATCTCGTGCCCGGGTCACGATAGAAAACTCGATTACTACAATGACATGATCCGTGTGTTAGAGTAGGGTACCCGGCGTTCCAATCTAATTGGACGTATTCTACTTGTAAATACAGTCTATTGGAATTATATTATGAATAAGGCATTTCTTTATCTTAAGAGAAAGCATTTATCTTATAATTGCACTTAAGATAAAATCCCTAGATCACTTATGGTTATAAGGTATGGTTGCGCATAGAGATGGTGATCATGGAACATACCTTGAAAGCCGTGATCTTAAATACAGTTCCAAGTCGATGGATGTTTCGAGATGGGATATCGAATAATCCATAAAAGACTTGCACATAGTTTGTATGCTTGTTGGACAAGAATGTTGCATTCCATCAACATTAGCGTAAGACGTAAGTACATTTATGTGGGTGCTTGTTAGAGAACAAGTTCACTGAACATGACCGTATGAAAATTCTTAATGAAGAATTTATTCAGTCGAATAAGAATTTTCATGTTACAATAGTACATGACTAATCCTAAGACTTGAGGCACAATGGTAACTTTGTGCATATTACATTCTACTTTGATTTATCCTTTTGGTAGCTAGCACTATCGTTTAAAGGGATAAGTTGGGTATTATGTTAATATGTATGGAAGTTTGTTAGTGGCCAATAAAGGATTCGACACTTATGAAGATAAGTGAATTTCCTATGTGTTTCATAGTTATTAATCCAAAGTCCTTGGCCAAGGCAGAGATGAATAGTGATTCATAACCGGGTTAATAAACATGAAATAGAATCATAGTTATTAAGTCAATTTGGGTTTCGACAAAATCATACCCAAGACTTAATCGGGAAATTAGATG